TTAATAGATATCATTTCTAACTATTTGTTAGTCAGATTTTTTAGTATCTAGTTTCATCATAAAAAAACAATGAACTTAAACTTTTAATCAAAACAAAGCAAAGTTTTTATGTGCATCAAACTAACTGTAGTTAAAATTTGATTAGAAGCACAAGTCATCTTATGGAATATTTCCTAAAATTCTAAACAAACACCCATAGTTAATTTCCAATTTAAGTCTTTCTAATTTAAGTCAAAAAAAGTTAAACTTAAGTGAAGCTATTTTACAAAACATTTTGAAATCTGAATTTCTAAAATACTAATGCAGTTTTAATATTATTTAATACTAGCTTTTATGACCCTTAAAATACAGGTCTTTGTAAACTTATCCCAAATGGCCCTTTTCTATTCTTATTCCTGACGTCAATATTTTGAAGTGAGCTGTAGAAAAATAGCTCATGTAGAAAAACTATACTTATTGTTTCTTACATCAAGCTATGAAAAATAAAATTTATATCATAATTAACTTTTATAAACGATAATTGTTACAGTAACCGTTGCGTAAATTGCCGATTTATCAGATATTAGTACTTGTCTATATACCAGCTAGAAACGTGACCATCGGTATTAAGTTACTCATGATCGGACCCGTAAAAACACTGGTCTTTGTAAGTCTACTCCACATAGACCTTTTCTGTACTTTTTATATGCATATTCTAGCTTTACAGACCAGTAAAATACCTATCTTTACCAAAGCCATCATTTCTGTACTAATTTATTCCACATAGATCACTTCTTACTCACTTGAATATTAGTAAAATAAAATAATTTTCTAAATTAATTGCTTTAAGCGGGAGTCCAGACAAAAAGTCTACAAAAAAAATTAACAGTTTATTTCACTCATAAACAGAGAAACTCTATTCCACATTGACTTAGTCTATATTTCTCTTTCTAATATTTTTAGTGAACAATAGAATATGAGCCAATGTGAAAGTTCACATACGCACTTACTTATACTTAGAGCTTATTAAAACCTTTACCCTGTATATTTATTTGGAATGAAATGTTCTGAAGTAAACTACTAAAAAAAATTCAAGAAAGAAAATCGCCTTAACGATGTTAGATGCCCAGATTACAATAAATTAACTTGTAGACAAAAGAGATGAGACTTACTTTTTGTTTCATGATGCTTTATGTTATAATCGAAATAAAGAGGAAGAGGCCACATGGCCGAGTTTTACTGGTTTTAGAGTACAGTTGGCGCAAAAATACAAAAATCAAAAGATTTTGAATCTATTTTTTTTTTTTTTTTTTTTTTTTTTTTTTTTTTTTTTAATTCACCTCCTCAAGGTCGAGAAGGCCACTACAGACGAGGAGGCTACTTATTTGTGGCTATAACCCTCTCTCAACTCTATAACTCCGAAACACGAACCTTGACGAACAAGGCTGCTGCGCGGAGAAACGAGTTGAGCGCGGTACTACCAGGGACGTGGTGGGGATCGAACTCGGAACCACTCGTTTATGAAGCGAGCGCTCTACCACTACACCACTACCGCATTACCCAATCTATTAATTAATCTATTAATTTTTATTACCAAATTTGGTGGATTTAATTACATAACTGCAAGGTAGTTTTACAGTTGTTTGAGAGTTTGCGTATATTTCGTAATACAAAAATCATTTAATATTAATACCTTATATTTGAGCATTTCGATTACCGGATTTGGCAGAACTAAAATTATGACGTAATTTTAGTATTTTAGGGTTTTCTGTTTGTCACCTTCTAGAGTTGTTAATTTTTTTTATTAAGTTTTTTTCATACCATCTGGTACTTATTAGGACTCTTGACCAGTTAATTCTGAAGAAAATTTCAGTTTGCATCTAACATAGCTGTTGCGCAAATCGCTATTTATTAACTAATTAGATATTACTAGCTGTCTAAAAAATATTTAGAATACCTGCTTGATATGTCTTAAATAATTATCATCGATTTAAAAAATTTTAAAAACATGAGATGGCTTAAATATGTTTTAAAAACATGAGATGGCTTAAAAATAGCGGACTTATCATGACCCGTATACGGGTCATTATAAATCTATTCCACTCCAACCATTTTAATAATTTTGTTTTATTTCAATAATTTTTAAAAAAGAGCAAAATATAAAAAACTTTGTTTTGAGTTAAAGATTTATGTTTAATCTCTTAATAACTTCTACAAAAAAAAAAAAAAAAAAAAAAAAAAATTTTTTTTCTTTAATAAGTTTCTATTTATATTTTTTCAGACCATCCACAGCTTTTTATGTCTCTTGCCCCATTAATTTTGAAGAAAGTTAAAGTTGGCATATAAAATCTTTTTTTTATAAGAAAGAAAGTTGTCTCTGTTACATTAACAACATAATTTGTTTATTATAAACAATATATTTTAGTATATTTTTAATATTACATAATTTGAAGAAAGTTAGATATTTGCGTAAGTTAGATAATAGCATACACTTTCGTTGATATTTCTTATATAAAAAAGTGCTGCTGCTCTTTCTCACTATTATCTCGATTGCAATGGCTGCCAAGATTATCCTGTCCAACAGGCTTGAAAGGGCACTACTACTACTACTACTACTACTACTACTACTACTACTACTACTACTACTACTACTACTACTACTACTACTACTACTACTGCTACTGCTACTGCTACTGCTACTGCTACTGCTACTGCTACTGCTACTGCTACTGCTACTACTACTACTACTACTACTACTACTACTACTACTACTACTACTACTACTACTACTACTACTACTACTACTACTACTACTACTACTACTACTACTACTACTACTACTACTTTTACTACTACTACTTTTACTACTACGATTAAGCTCAGATATTAGATGATATATCTACATTTAAAAATTTTAATTTTATACTCTACCATTTACAAGCGTATACATGATTATCTTACCATAGCGTTTATAGAAAAGCCAGAATTTTTTTGTTTTTGCAGTTCAAGATTTTCCTCTGTAACCTAAGTTTATAAAAATAAAGTAAAAAATCTAATAACTACTGAACAAAAGGTGTGCATTTTAACTAAGATTTACATACTTTAACTAAAAGTTAAAACTATTGCATAATTTAAATGACCCACCTTTCGCAACTTTTCTTCAATTTCTGCTCTATATTTGTTTTCAGCTGCATATTGCTTTTGTAATGAGTCATACTCTGATACAGCCAATAAAGAAACTAAAAACAGTGAAAAGCGTTTATAAAATGAATTTAAAAAATCTATCTAGTAGTAGTAGCAGTAGTAGTAGTAGTAGTAGTAGTAGTAGTAGTAGTAGTAGTAGTAGTAGTAGTAGTAGTAGTAGTAGTAGTAGTAGTAGTAATAGTAGTAGTAGTAGTTGTTGTTGTTGTAATTACCCTAATGTTGCTATTTTAAGCAACAATTGATTTGTTTTGCACTAATGTTGCAAATTAAAACTCAGGCCTTGTTAAGAAGCGTTACACAGCTTGCATTTTATGCACGAAATGGCAATTTGCATATATGTTCAGCAGTTTTATGTTAAACAAAAACTTTTTTATTCAAGAATATTTCAATTATCTTTAAATAATGTTTTAATAGTTAAAATATATTTATCTTTAAATAATTATCTTTAAATAATGTTTTAATGTTAAAATAGTAAAATGTTTTAATGATTCAGAAAATATTAAGTCATAAAATTATTAACAAATTATTTTTTTAAAAAGACTTTGTATTAAATATGATTTAAAAAAATTTAATTTAGTTTTAAAGGAATGTAAAATAGTTTTGTAATATTTAATATGAAAGAATTTTTTCTTTGTTAACAAAATCATTATGTAAAACATAAATCTCTTTATCGTAGATTAAAATATGTGAAAGCAAATAAAAAAGTTTTTTTATTAATTTAAAATCATGTAAAGATCTTTTGACATTTTTTAAAGAACATAAATTTTGTTCACGAATAGCTTATTGGTAACTAAAATCTCTCTATAAATTGTTTATAATCAATTTAAAATATTACTTAAAATATGTAATATATATATATATATATATATATATATATATATATATATATATATATATATATATATATATATATATATATATATATATATATATATATATATTGTTATAAAGAAACAAAAGATTATTTTAGGAATAAGATTGTTTTGAGAAATAAATTAAAATAAGAAAAAATGATTTTTTTAGAAACCAAATTTCATCAATAATTTTTGTTATATTAGTTTGAATGATTTTTAACGTAATTTAAAATTAAATTTAATTACAAGGTAATATTTTAAAAGATGCTAATGATGCAATTTAACTTTTAACAACTTAAATACCAAAACTGTGTAACAGTTAAATTTATTAGCGCTACATGTTTTCGTTATGCAATAAAATCTTATAACAAGGCCTGAAAACTTTAATGATGCAAAAGTTAACTATTATTACAAACTAAATTGATGTAATGTTACATTATATTTTGAATAAAATATGCTGCCACTATTTAATTTAAAGTTTTTACAGGCATTCAAGCAATTTGATATAAAATTTAAACTTAAAAAGATGTAAAACCGAAAAAGCTACAAACTAAAATACTTAAATATATTTATATTAGTAAGGTTATGCTAACATTTTCATATGTTGAATATAAATTACTAAAATTTTTTCTTATCTTAACCCTAGAACAGTACCCTAAAAAAACATCAATTTATGATTACTTTTGTATTTCACAGTGGATCTTTTTTCGCTGATGCGCATTTGCATGGGCTGAAGGACTGTGTCAAAGCATCAGTCAGGTGAGAGTACTGTAAGTGTGTTAAGCTCAAAGCATGAATGGGGTGCTGTAATACCCTTGGGTACAGTTAGTATAACTATATTTGTTACTATAACTTTGATATTTTTATGGAATAAAGCATGTCATCATGTTGTTTATTTTTTCAAGTTTTCTATTTGAATGTTTTTTTTTTATTTGCATAACTACTTAAGACATGTATACTTATTTGTTACATTTATACCTAAGTTAGTTGTTTTTATTTTTTTGCGTGTAATTTGAATAATTTTTTTTTTGGTTAGATATTTTATAGCTTCGCTTCAAAGTCTATCACAAGATAAAAATCAAAGCTTTCTTCTGGACACTAACAACAACAACAACAACAACAAAAAGTTCTTGGGAATGAATTGGATGAACCTGTTGAAATCATTACAGACTTATGCATTGAATAAAACATTGTCAAAGAAAATAGCTTTAACTATGAAGTGGATACTCGAAGATTGGAAAGGGTTATGTCCATTTTAGAATTACTGATTCTTTAATAACAGTTCCTACTGCACTTAAAGTTTGATAAAATAGAAGAAAAAAAAAGCAAAGAATTAGCTAAAATTCTGTATAGCATTGGGGCTTCAGAGTATATAAAATCAAACAAAGCGGCATGGATCAGCTTACAGTATTTCTCATAAAACTTGTTGCTGAAGCCTTTTTGCCTTTAACAGAATTATGTACATTGTTGGAATCAATTTTATGATATTACTGCATTCACCCAACATTACCGGTAAATTTTAAGAGTTAAAGATCTTAAGCCCTTGACCTTATTTGTCAATATACAAAACTTTATTAATGCATCTCCCAGTATATATTGACAGGAAAAAAACTGATGATTTAGTCCTTTCAGAATCAACCTCTGGAGGTTTATCACAATTTATTTTTGCAAATTATGATTAATTACTTTAATTTTCTTATGCCTTTTGTCAATCAAATTAAACAAAATTGGTGTTGAATAAAAATTAATACAATTGCATTAGATCTAATTGAAAGCGCTGAATCAAAAAAACTAATAAGAAAAGAAAAATAATAAAGTACAATTACAATGCTAAAAAATATAATTACAATGCTAATAAAACATTAAAAAAATAGCTTGACAATTATCATAATAACATTTATAATTTTTTTCTTCATTACTTCACTATAGTAGCAAAAAAGTTGTAATAAAACATCTCCACACATTATTAGCTATTGCAAATGAAAAATTTATGATACTTAAAAAAAAACTATAAACCAAATATTCAACATCAATACTAACATGATTATCAATTTAAGCATAGTAATCAAACAATATTTTAGTAAAAAAATTAAAAGTATATTTTAGGTTTATCAAAACAAGTCGCTAAAAAACACTTATTATTATAAGTATTTAAAAAAATGAATTACCTTGTTTAAGTTGCTTAAATTGTGAATCTAATTTTTTAAATTTTTCCTCTTCCTTGCAAAACTAAATGAAATATATATATACATATATAGTGCTCAAAATAACAACTGATCAACTATTAATGATTATAAACATTTGAAAAATTGATACTTTGAACTCCCAAAATTAATTATGGTTGATCAAATTCGATCACCAATATTTGTAGGTCAAACTTTATAATAAAAAAATTTAATCATTTAAAAAAGAACCATAAAGTTATTAAATCAGCATTAAAACTTAAAAATGTTTTTTGATTTCTTAGACATAATGAGACATAAACCATAACAATTTTTAATTCACAATAAAAACGGTAATTTAAAAAAAGCTAGAAATTTATATTAAGTAAAAAAACTGAATAATAAAAAAAAAATGTTTTTTATTGGTGTAAATTAACTGTAAATGAACTTTTTTTTGAATGAAGCAAATTCTTTTGAATAAAATAAATTAAAAGAATGCTTTTACTTCATTGAATGTATGAAAAATAACAAATAAAGCAAGTTTATGAATAGGAAAAACTTTGTTTTGATTTTTATTTCAAGATTTTAGAAATTATTAAATAGTAATTATAAAAATATATTTATAAAATGGAAACATGTAAAATGCAACAACTTATTTCTTTTAAAAGGAAATTTGGTTAAGTAAAAATTTGATCATTTTGAAAATTATTTACTAAATGTTAATAAAAAATCATTTTGACGGTAATGACAGCAAAATTCAAATAACTATTTTGCTGTGTATATATATCAAGTTAATTAGTTGAGTAACTTAACTGGAGTAACTTTGTTTTGGTTGCATGAGTTAGGAAAATATGAAGATGGAAAAGATTTTAAAAGTATAATAGTGGTTGCTTGCAGCCTTGTTGGAAGTGAAGATGTATATATATATATATATATATATATATATATATATATATATATATATATATATATATATATATATATATATATATATATATATATATATATATATATATATATATATATATAGTCTTGCATGTCTCTTGCGTAGCATCAAAAAATATTTCCCATAAACTGTAGTTTTAAAGAGCGCGTTAATAAACCAGACCAGAAAAAGTTTTAAATATTAAATTTTTTTTTTTAATTGATAGACTGCCTGGCCAAACCAAACCCTCAGTCGATGTAGCAGCACTCTCTTGCGAGTCAGGCTATTTGTCAGTCGTTGTAGCAGCACTCCCTTGCGAGTCAGGCTATTTGTCAGTCGATGTAGCAGCATTCCCTTGCGAGTCAGGCTATTTGTCAGTCGATGTAGCAGCACTTTGTTGCGAGTCAGGCTATTTGTCAGTCGATGTAGCAGCACTCCGTTGCGAGTCAGGCTATTTGTCAGTCGATGTAGCAGCACTCTGTTGCGAGTCAGGCTATAAGATAGTCGATGTAGCAACATTTACGCATGTTTAAAAAATGTTTTTTATTAAATCAATAACAAAAACACCACTAATTAAAAAAAACTTTCTAGTCGTTATAATTGCGGTTTTTTAAAAATTTTTTAAAAAACAATTAAATTTAATGTACTTCCGCATAAATTAATTGCTTTGACATTTCGATGACAATCAAAAACAGCTTAAGAGACGAGGTAATTAAAATTGTAGTCGTAAGAGACTTTTTTTACATTAAAATGCTCTTAAAGCGACACTATATGAGTATATATATATATATATATATATATAATATATATATATATATATATATAATATATATATATATATATATATATATATATATATATATATATATATATATATATATATATATATATATACATATATATATATATATATATATATATATATATATATATATATATATATATATATATATATATATATATATATATATATTATTAAAGTTATTAAAGTTCGAAGTTACTGGAATAGAAAAAATGAAGTTTATATAGCAATGATTAACAAACAACTAAAAAAAATTTTCCTTAAAAAAAAATAGATGAATAAGAATTTTTGGAGCAGTTAGGAACAGTCACAGTAAAATAAAGAGACACATAGTATTTATATAAAAAAGAAAAAGGATCAGCGTTACATTGATTTGACAATTGTTGAAGGTTAGTTACAAGTGCAAGTCCAGCTATATTTACAATGCATTTTAGTACTTTGTCTAAAAGAAAAAGAGTATCATTTTAAGATCGGCTCCAGATACAGCAACAGTATTCTATACAAGGACGGATTTGAGATTTATAGAGGCAAAGAATAGAATTCAAAGAAAGACAGCAGCGAGCACGATAAAGAGATGCAACCTTAGAAGATGCTAATTTTGCAATGGATTTGATATATGGTTTTCAGAAAAAATCAAAAGTAAGAGTTAATCCTAGAAGACGAAGGGTAGATGACTCATCATGACTCAAAAAAAATTAAGTTTTTATGAGTTAAAGTTCACCAGCCACTGAGAGCTTTATGTTGTAGCAGAAGTGAGATCCTTTTCAAGCTCAAATGCCCCCTCCAAGCAAGCAGAGAGTGTTGGCTTCTTATCAAGACCAGAATAAATGATTGTATCATCAGCAAACAATGCCAACTTAGATGTGAGAATTTTAGGAAGATTGTTAATGCAAATTAAAAAAAGTATAGTACCAAGGGTTGGACCTTGAGGAACTCTTGAAGTTACAGGAAATAAAGAGCAGTGCTGTTGCTCAAGGAGAACTTCTATACTATGATTGGTAAGGAAGGATTTAATAATCTTAAAGATGTTACCTAATACACAGTAAGAAAAAAGCTTATGGAAAAGACCATATACCAAACTATATCAAAGGTTTAAGAAATGTTGTGAGCGATAACCTTAGACTCTCAGCATCTACCTAATGCACAATAAAATCTATCAGTTATTACCGTTAATAAATCAGCTGTAGAACAAGAAGAACAAAATCCATATTGATGATCAGAAAGTTCAAGATGAGAGATTAGGGTTGTTTTTTTTTTAAGACTCAAAAACCCTGCTTATGATAGGAAGAAGACTAATGGGACAGTAGCTAGACAAGACAGATTGCTTTCCAGAACTTTTGAAAATAGGCAGAATGGAAAACAAGACTCTGATAAGCACTTGTTAAAGAGTTTTGAAAGTATAGACAACAGCTCAGGATAAAAGCTTCTGCAAAACTGTAACAGGTATGTTGTCTGGACCACAAACTGTAGAAGAGTCTAAGCAGAAAATCACTTTAGATACAGAAACTGGAGTGATAAGAATATCAATTGATCAACCTGTTTGTCAGCTATATTAGGTAGGATGTGATTAGTAGAATCAAGAGATGAGACTGATAAAAATTACTTAGCTATTAATTCAGCTTTGTCTTTAGGTGAGGTAACAAAATCTGAAGCATGCAAGAGAATAACAGATTTGCCCTTATTTTAGACACTGTTAAAGATTCTTACCAGAATTCTGAATATCTTTAAGTATATTTGAAATAGTTTAGTAACTTATCTTAATGGTTGTTTTGATTTACTTTGAATCTATGATAAATTTAGTGCAATGTAGTTACCTATAAAATAAATCACATTAATTTTTTAACAACTTCATGGATACTGTCTTGTATAGCACACAGTCATCAAAAAACAAGAGAAAGATTTTTGCAGCAGTCTCATCATATAGAACTGTAAAGACCATTTTGCACAACTTTAAAGCTTTACATTTGCATCAATTTATACAACATGGGAGCTAAATGGAGAGAGCCACATTAAAAGACCTTGCACAGAAACTTGCAGGTGTATCATTTCTCAAAATTTTGACATTAATATATGATGCATTGGAGGAACTCAAATAAAACTTCAGAAGTTCTTCAATTAAAAACATCACACTTGCAAAAACAATTCACATTATCTCTCGCCTTGGAAAATAATTCACATTATCTTCAAATTTTCCTCCTTTCAAAAATAAATATGAATCTTTTTTTTAAAAGAAGAAAAATTTGAATAGGTCCTGAGGGGTTTCTCCTGAGGTTTCTGAGGTCAAACTGGCTATTTTTTATATACAGATATTTACTCTAATAAATTTTCCAAGATGTAAATATATGCTAAGATGTAAATATATGCTAAACATGTCTCAAATTTTGCACTTTTGCAATTAGTTTCTTTTTTTAAAAAAAGTACTTTTGCAATTTTTTTTTAATTGTTGTTTTTTCTTTTTTGATTTATCAATTTTTTTGGCTTAAAAAATATAGAATGTTTTGTGACTGAGATCTTTATTAGGGATCATCCAAAAAGTACAACACTCTAAATTTAAAATTTAATAGAAGTATGATCATGTGCTCTCTTGAATGGAAATTTTCATTCCACATAAAGTACTTTTAAATTTTAATTACTTTAAATCTCTACGTGGAAACCAATAATATCATACTACTATTTTAAAGTTAAATTTAGTGTGATTTACTTTATGGATAAAGTACATCACAGTAAATTTACCTATAAACTAAATCAAAACAACCAATTATGTTACTCCAGTTAAGTTTCTCAACTATTTAATAGACTTAATATGCTCTAAGACATTTACTTGCAAAAGTTAGAACTAGAAATGTTTCTACTTATATCTTATATGTTGTTAACACAAGCCTTTATTATTTTAACAAAAAATTTAAAATAAAATATGTAAAACGCAATACAATTTTTTTCATACTTTCATTTTATTTATAGTTATATCAAGATTAAATATTTTCTATAAATATGCAAGTTGTTTTCAGGAATTTATTTTTGAAAGTAATATATTTGAACAAAAGAATTTTAGTCTTCTAAAATTTTCTTATTAAAATAATCTTTAATTTTAAATTTTAAAAAATATTAGAAGAACTTTGCAAATTTTTAACGCTTGCTTACAACTATTATAAATCTAAATGAATGGAAAATTGCTTGTAGTATTTTTTGAATTTAATCTTTTGCTTTTTTTTTTTGATTTGATCTTAAATATTGTTATATTTGCAAGTAAAAACAATTACTAAAAGTAATAATGTAATAGTATTAAATACATTACTCACACGTTATGTTTAACTGTCACTCACATTACATTATAACTGCAATTCAGCTTTAAATTATAACTTAAGTTGTAAATTATAACTGTAACTTAAGCTATTTTAAACCCTGCAAAACAAGAATATTATGAGAAATTATTTAAAAGTAAGAAATATTTTGTTGAAAAAATAGCAAATAAAATTACAAAAGATGTAAATATTGTGTTAGTACAAAATTGTATCTTTTGGCCAGGAGAGAGATTTAAAAAAAAAAAAAGTGGTAAAAAACTTTAAGTCACGTATAGAACCTGTTTATGAAAAGTACATATTAACTCAATCAGTGCAACGATTTGAACCATATTTATATGTACAGATGTACAAAGCATAAAACATATATAACCAATGAAAATATCTACTCTTAAACTCAATACTTATGTAATATTGAACATAATTATTTCTTGTTCATATTACAATAATTTCTATTTATACACCAGAAATTAGTTCATTTAAAACTGTTTGTTTTTTTTAAATTAAAGGATTCAATATAATCGTTTGATATAAGCAAATGAATGGATATTAATAGTGATTTTAGCCATCACCAGAAACCTTGAAATACAGTAAAAATTCATACAGCAAAAATTTATAGCGCCTAATTCAGCAAAAATTTATTTGCAGTTGTAGCTTTGCCTTTGTAAAGCAGAGCTATTCTGGCTATTCTGCATCTTTTTGAACCCCAGATTTTAAATTTTTTCAATACAGCTCCACCTGTATTAAAGTGTTGTGAGGCGGTGCCTTACAATGCTTTACAGTTCTTTTTCTAATTTAACCCCTGTTCTTGCTTAATAAATATAAAAATGCTAAGTTTTCAGTATTTTTATTTAGAAAATTAGAAACAATTAATTTGTTAAACTAATTTAACAAAAATAGGCCAAAATGAAATTTTTACCAACCTGTGTTTCAGTTTTCAAATTGCACTGCTTAAGTGATAGACCTTGGTTTTAGAAAGCAGTAACTGCTTTTTTCTGTTAAAAAACTATAAGCATGCATATAAGAACGAATAAATACACATTTAAGAATGAATAAATGCGTATGGAAGAATGAATAAATGTGCATACAAGAATGAATAAACATGCATATAAAAATAAATAGATGTGCATATAAAAATGGAAAACCCTGTAATAGTGCTCACTTTGTTAACTCCCAACTTAATAGTGCTCACTTTCATCCTTGTTAACTCCCAACTTAATATTACAAATAAGAAAAAAAAAGAGGAAAATAATTCAAAACTCTTAAAGCATACTTCAGGTTCAACAAAACAATTATTGCATATATAATTTAAAATCAAATTAAAAAAATAAAAAGTCTTCTATAGAGCTTATACAAATTTTATTTATATATGAGTTATTATAAATAAGCTAGTTATGTAGAATAACTTACTGTTAATTAATCAAGATGAGTATTTTTTCACCCAGCTGTTATTACTGTTATTATTACCTATTATACTATATTTATAGATACTATTGTTTATTATAGGTGTTTTAACAACCTGCTTATGTCAGGGTGTTTTAGATTAACCTTGGTAGGATAAGATAATATTTCATGCATATACATTTTAAACATTTTAATTTTATCAAAATGGTTCATTAGGTCATTTACATCAGGTTAATTTGACTTAAAATTAAAATTTTACTGTTAAATTAAGTAAGACAACACTCATGCACAGGACCAGGTTGAAATGTTGTGTTCTGAAAATTGGTTTGTAATGATTTTAGAATATAATATCTGTTTCATTAGCATTGTCAAACTGTTAAAAAAAAGTACAATTTATTAATAAAAAAAGTAATAAAAAAGTAAAATTTATTATTTATTATAATATACCTTTTCATAGTATTCAGCGTATTTTGCATTAACATCATCAAACTCCAAAATTGCTAAAAAATTTAAAGTATTTCATTTTACTTCATTATAAAGTTTATTTATTATAATATTTACTTATATAAACTGAATATATTGTAGTAATTTAAAAATTAAAAATTTAAATAGAATGAAAGTTTTCTTGATTATTTTAGAAACAAACTAATACCGGAAAGTTTGCCAGGGGTCAAAAACTCTTTCTACAAAAATAAATGTCATAACTTTTTAAATGTATGACTTAAGAAACCAGATTTAGTGAAGAGTGAATTTTTTTTGGCTGTCTGAGAACTAAATAAAGTAAGTTGAAGCCAGATGAAATAGTTAAAGTTTTAACTAACTCTTATGGAAAAAGGATTTTTAATTCTTTTTATTTAAGTTGTAGAAAATTTGGAGCTGTATTTAAATATAGAAGAACCAAATGAAAAAAATTGTTAGTGTTATAAAATTTTAATTGAAAAAAAAAAAAAGTTTCATTTTACACTCACTATTTTTCAGTAGAATGAAAGATAAAAATTGATAAATAATTAAAAGAGCACTTAATTATTTATAAAACAAAAACAAAAACAATAAAAAATAAAAACAATTAAAACTTGTATTCATTTAAATATTTAACAGATCAACTAAAATATAATTATGTTATAATTATATTTTGGTTATAATTATGTGAATGGCAAACAGTATAAATATCATATGCAAGATATATATATGAAATTGTTGTTGTTACTGTTGCATGAACTATTGTATTATTATGAATATTAAATTATTATCAATCAACAGAAATCTAGACTTTTATTGATTGATAGATTGTTCAAAAAATAAGCCTTATTTATTCTCATGACAAAATCTTTAATTTCATTTAAAATTTCATTTAAAAAAGGTAAATCAAATATAAAATCTTTTTTTAATTTTTTTTTTTTTTTCTATTGATTGTAAATAAATATAAAAAATATGACTATTTAATAACTGTTTGTATTGTAAATAATTGATTGTAAATAAATATAAAAAATATGAATATTTAATAACTCTTTCTTAATATTTTTTTATATTAATTATAAATTAATACTAAAAAAATGTTAAGATTTTTATAAACTCATCTCAGAAACTTTTAAACATAAAAATATGTTAAGAATCTTTATCTTACACATAGGCAATGTTTGGCAATTGACAATCTTACACATTGGTAATTTTATACTTGTAATCTCATTGCAAATATAAAATGAACATATCATAGTTTTTATATCATAGAACATACCAAGTTTTTACATTTTACTTTTTTTAAATTATTTTAACTTTAAAATGTGCTTACATTGAGTTTTGTAATTGAAACTAAACAATTTGTTAAATTTAAAAACGTAGTTAATGAAACTAATTTATAAAAGCAAATCTGAAAGGAAAAAAAATATTAAAAAACAATTAGAGCTTTTTAAGGGTTGAAGATTCTTAATGATCCCATGTCACAAACTGTCAAAAGTGACTTAGGATAAATTTAGTAGTTGGTTGAAAGTACATGTTTACTATTCTCGTCAGCGTTTATATGATATAAACGACAATGCTTTGCTAGTAGTATATTACTCAACTAAACAATTGTCATTTTTACCTCGAGCAGATAGCCGTTTTAAAGCTTCAAGCTGTTTTTCTTCGTTCATTTTTTTCAGTAAAAGATTAAATATTCTTCTGCATTATTTGTTTATATTTAATTGAATATATTAAATTGAGAAAATAGCAGAATGGAAGTCATGCCGCGTAAGTTAAGGAATTGTTTTTAATTGTTTAACTTGAGGAATTCCGTCAAGACCTGTAACAAAAACAACAACTAGATTTGTTTTTATGACAATTTTTAGGTTTGACGGACCAAAAAAGGTAGATAAAATTAGAAATGTAAGAAAAAAGATAGAATTAGAAATGTGAGCTTTTCTTATGATCACATTTTGATTTTTTTTTTTGTTTTTTTGTTTTTTTCTTAAACATTTTAGTAAATCGTTGTACAATAAAATCGTAAACATTTAAATAACAAAATCATACAATAAGAACTAAGTAAAATCTTAATACAGTTATACAGGTATTTAATTTTATAAAAAGAACGCGGAGACTCGCAGAAGACCGTCAAGTCTTGTCATCGAGAACCGCTCGTATTTTACAATCTCAATAAATCATATTCAAATATAGTTGTATATCTCTATAAAAACTTTACAGCATAAATACATCAAATATTACATGAAATTATTAAACGTTTTAAAATATAAAAATATATTATCCAGAAACAAAATTATTTCTTTAAGTTTATTTTTAAATGAGAGGTAACTCCATTCCAGAGAAAAGTCAAAATGTTTTAAAACTATTTTATTCCAAAGAAATGCAATGTTTGTTTTTCGCTCCGCGAAATGCAATGTTTGTTTTTCCAAAATTTAAAGTTAGATAAAAAGGTTGCCAAACTAAATTATCATTTCTAATTATATCTAATTTTTATCTTTCAAGGTATATAAATTTTGGAAAGAAACTGTGGAGGAATTTATTTTACATTTGTACATAAAACAAAGAGTATTAAAAACATTGAGCTGAAATATATTAAAAATTTTCATTTCAGATAAAAAAAGGCCTGGCATGAGTAAATCTGTCTTTTTTTATTTGAATTTTTCATGCTATATTTTTCTACACAATGTTCTTATATCCGAAGATATTGTTGGCTCAGCATAGGAACAGCCACAAATAGTCATTAAGACAATCCAAAGTAGCGTCCATTATTGACCAACATTTTTGTGTACCGAAGTACTACTCAAGCGCTAAGTTGGCGGTGGCTGTATTTGAACTCGTATCTTACAATTGTCCGGGTTTAAACTTTTTTTGTTCGACGCTCTAACCAACTGAGCTAACCAGCCACTCTTTAAAATTGATAAAACGAGCAACATGGTTTTGCTGACGATAAAGAAGGTTTTAGTCTACTTTTATAAGCATTACACCTAGCAATATTTGCATAGTTTAAACGACAATGGATAAAAGAAAAATATAGTTGTGTTAAACTTTGTTTATTTAAGGCATTTCTAGCCTTATATATTATTCCTATACTTTTAGCAATTTTGTTGTACTAAAAATTAGTGTGGTATTTCCAGCTAAGGTTTTCATAAACATGGACACCTAAAAAGTTAGTATTTATTTCTCTTTTTATTTGATTTTTGTCTATAAAAAATAAGAGCAAGTTAGGAGGCAGTAGTCTATTTTTAGAAGTCAAATGAAAGAGTGACCATTTTGTTTTATCCACATTTAGTGACAATTGATTCATTTCAAACCTATCACTAATTTTGTCTAATTCGATGTTCATAGTTTGAAATAATGTTAGAATACAATTATGCAATAAAAAAAGATTAGTGTCATCAGCAAACAAGACAGTCATTAAATTTGATGCTTTAGGGAGATCATTAATGTAGATTAAGAATAGAAGAGGTCCGGGTATAGAGCCCTGGGAAACTCCACAGGTTATATTTAATAAATTAGATGTATCACTTTCATTACTATAAACAAAATGTTTACGGTTGTTTAAATAACTTTTAAGTATCATTAAAACATTTCCTCTAATTCTATAGTATTCTATTTTTTTAAGGAGAATTCGATGATCAATAGTGTCAAACGCTTTTGATAAATCTATGAAAACTCTCAAAGTATATTGGAACTTCTCAAAATATTCAGCTATACTGCGAGTAATTTGGAGTATTGCGTGTTCTGTCGAGTTATTTGTTTGAACCCGAATTGATTGATATATAGTACATTGTTTAAGGAAAGATGATTATAAATAACGTTATATAAAATTCTTTCTAAAACGTTAGAAAAAACAGAAAGAACAGAAGTTGGGCAATAATTTATAATATTGGTTGGATAGCCTATCTTAAAAACCGGAGTGACTTTAGTTATTGTTAAATAATCTGGAAGTATTCCCTGTTTTATTAAAGAATAAAAAACTTTAAATTTTGTTTGGTTAAAAATTAAACGAATTTAAAGACTTCACCATTAATTTATATTCCTTTCGACAGTCATTCCATTATTTGTGTTCTATAATATTCTGAGAATTTATTGCATTTCCGAAGCAATTTATAATTGTTGTTTACATTTGATCTTAGGTTATAATGTTCATTTTGATTTTTTTCAAACTTGTTGTTAAAGTTTTCTGGTAAGAGGTTGTTGTAATATCTATACTTAAAAGTTAGATGCTTATAAGTATATATTTCAAATATTTTTTCAAATAATTCTAGCGCTATTGCTCTCGACATATCTAAAGCTTTCAACAAAGTTTGACATGATGGTCTTCTCCATAAGCTTGCTTCATATGGTGTTTCTGGGAAAGTTTTTGAGATTATTAAATCATTTCTTTCTAACCGGTTTATTAAGTCATCCTTGAAGGCCAACACTCTTCTTTATTTCCAGTAACTTCTGGGGTTCCCCAAGGTTCCATCCTGGGCCCTGTTTTGTTTCTTATCTACATAAACAATCTTCCAGACAACATTTCATCTAAAGTAGCTCTTTTTGCTGATGATTCAACTTTATACTCCTGTCTTGACAAAAAGTCTTCTCTTTTCAATCGCCTAGAACAAGCAGCTGATCTTGAATCCGATCTCACTTCAATAATAGATTAGGGTTCACAGTGGCTTGTGAATTTCAACTCTAACAAAACCCAGTTGCTTACTGCAAACAACTACCGTAAAATGGTCAACATTCCTATATTAATGAATGGCAATCCTCTTACTCAGTCCTCCTCTTTACGTCTTCTTGGATTATCGCTTACTACTGACCTTTCATGGAAACCATATATACAATCGATTGCTAAATTAGCTTCTGCTAAGGTTGCTTCTCTTTATCGTGCTCGCCATTTCCTTACTTCTGATTCCATTCTCTACCTCTACAAATCTCTTATTTGCCCCTGTATGGAATACTGTTGTCATATTTGGGCTGGTTCTTCTAACGATACACTTTTTTCTTCTTGACAAGGTCCAAAAACGCATTGTAAATGTTGTTGGACCTGGACTATCTGCTAAGCTTGAGCCTCTTTCCCATCGTCGTAAAGTTGCATCTCTTTCTCTTTTCTACAAATACTATCATGGTCACTGCTCAAAGGAGTTATCATCTCTAGTTCCATCAACTAAAATTCATTCTCGTTTTACTCGTCATTCAGCAAAGTCTCATTTGTTTACTGTATCTGTCCCTGCATGCTCTAAAAACTTTTATTCATCTAGTTTTTTTCCCCGCACTTCAATCCTTTGGAGCTCTCTTCCATCTTCATGTTTTCCTGACTCATACAACCTTCAACTTTTCAAGTCTTCTGTCAAGCGTTTCCTTGCTCTATAACTCTGTTCTTTTTTTTCCAAGTAACTCCCAACTTAATAGTGGTTGCTTGCAGCCTTGTTGGGAGTGAATGCAAATAAAAAAAAAATATATCCATCATTCTCATACCTTTCATAAGTCGTTTTGCATGTTCTTGTTTGTGTTTAGAGTATATGATTCAGCAAGCGTGTTTTTGTAGCCGATAAATTTTTTAGAGTTTTGTTGGTTGCGTTCTTGCCCATGATATGTTTGCATAATTTATGAAACAGTGAATTAGTCCAAAATATATCAATTTAAGACTTACCATATTGAAGTATGGGTGAACTCGATACATAACGCCAATTGTTTTGGTAATTTTAGACTGGATATAATTTGTTTGGGGAAGCCAGGATAAATTTTCATCGACAAGAATTCATAGGAATTTTATGTTTACTTGTTTTTTAATTGTTTTACCATTTAAGAAGAGTATGGGCAGCTTAAGTGGAATGTTTAGTTCTTGTGTTTTTTTTATGAAATAGAGCATAATTTGTTTTCTCAACATTAAGTGAAAGATTATTTGCCCTAAACCAAATATTTACTTCAGTTAACTCCGTATTCATATCAGTATATAGATGTTTTATATCACTATTGGTGAGAAAGAGATTAGTATCGTCTGCAAACATTATTGAGTTCAGCTTTAATGACGCATTACAAAAGTTGTTAATATAAGTTAAGAATAGGAACGGATCAAGAATTGATCCCTGTAATACTCAGCATACAACGCTTAGCATTCCGGATTGTACATTATAAACATATTGCTTTCTATCAGTAAGATAGCTTTTTATAGGAATAGGAATAGATTGAATTATTTATACCAAAATGCTTTATTTTTTATAAGAGCATTGAATGTTAACTGTGTCGAATACTTTAGATAACTTTACAGATATTCCTAAAGTATATATGCTTTTGTCAAAACTTTTAGTTATTTGGTTGACTATCTCAATAATTGCATGCTCAGTTGAGTGATTTTTCTGAAATCCAAATCGTTTTGGGTAGAATAATTATTTTTAGTGAAGTATTCGAATATTCTTTTATAAATTATTTAATTTAGAGATTACTGATAGCTTAATTGTCGAAGTCGCAAAATTGTTGTTAAAAGAGACTTTTTTTTACAAAAAAATTCTCTTTCGACAACGAGTTTAGGATTCGAGATAACTCCCATAACCAGACTTTTTTAAAAGAGGGTGACGAATTTTTTACTGCGGTTCACTGTTTTTTTAGCAAAATTTAACGGTCACTTTTTTAAAATTTATAATTAAACACAAAATTTGCCGCAATTTTTAATATAATGTAAGTAATGAAAAAAAAAATAAACAACAAACGTTCGGTCTCTTTATAAAGATTTAGTTAAACACAAAAATTGTTAATCATGTAAATAATTGGAGACAAATTCTAATCTTCTTGGATGTAATTTTG